TATCCAAAGAGCGAGAGGTTTTTCAGTGTGTGGGAAATACAAACCGGTAAATCAAATGTCATAATACAAGTAGTTGGATATTTGAAAAAAAAATTCAAGTACTTATATTATGACATCTGATGTATCAGATCATTTTTTCAGCAGACTGAACATTTTCTCCCAGAGAACAATCATGTTATGTCCAACAATTAATTATTCATTTGCCTTCGGATTTTTATATATATTTGTCTATTTCAGTCCCTAATTCATCTTTTGTTCCAAGTAAATCCTTGTACTTTTTCAAGTGTCATATATTGTGAGTTTTGACTTTCGTTTCAACTAATCACCGAAATCTGATCCCCGGATTCATAATTATATCGACTTCCTCCACACCATGTGAATGTGACTTCCGTTTGCCCACATTTATAGGTAGTAAATTGTGTTGTAAGTTACCAAAGTGGGATAACCAAAAACTTCATAGGGGCAAACTTGCGATAAACCGGATCAACAACGAAGAAGCTGTACATATTAAGGCTAGTTTGGTATTGTTGTGCTTTGAAAAAAAACTGCTTCTGCTGTGCTGTGAGAATAAGCGGCTGTGAAATAAAACTGTAGAGTGTTGGTAAACGTTTTTTGTAAAAATGCTTTTGAAAAAAAAAAAAAGCAGTATTATAGTGTTTGGTAAACTTTTATGTAAAACATATGTGAAAAAAGCCGGTTTTTTAAAGCTGAGTTTTGCAGCTTCTTGTTTTTGGTTTTTTTTTCATCCAAAACTGTGAAAAAAAGCTGAAGCTGAATGTTTACCAAACACAAGCTTTTTTTTATACCAGCTTTTTTTCAAAATCATCTCAGTACCAAACCAAGCCTTAGTATTCTTGTAACTACTATATGTAATATTTCATTAAGTATTTGATCTTAATCCAATGGTGGAGGAAAAAGTACTACAAAAGCTCAATGACCACGATAGTTAAAAAAAGATAAAAACAGTAGATAATCATAATTTTCTTTGACCATGGAGACTAGGAGAATAGGATTTCGTAAAATAAAGAAACATGATCCACTATCTGAGAATGTATCATTTTGAGAATTCTAACGATTTGTCTAATCGATACAAATTGTGACCCGGATCTTGTGACCTCCAAGTCCAAGTAACCCTAACCCTACTAAGAAGAAAATAAAAACTCTGGTAATCCTTCATCCTTAGAGTAGAATATGTTGTATCATAAACATAAACGACTCACCAAAAGCTGAACTTGGAACAAGAAGCCACTGCTGTAAATCTGTATTTGGTTTCTCACAATATAAGTACAACTACATGTACAAGCTATATGAACAAAAGAATATGAAGATTTAGGTATAACATGTTTTTAACAGGGCAAAGTACATGTTATGTTAATTAAGACCTACAGATATCTGGCTTGGTTAGCAGAAAAATTGGTTCTTGTCGGCGGTTCTTATCGGAGGGAGGGTGGGAACTGCTGCAGATTTTAGACTCCAAATTTATGGGATACGACTTCCCTTCAGTTCTAACTAAATAATGTATTTCAGAAGTATAGTGCAAGGTAGACAATTGCTGTCGTACCATCGATTTTTTAAAATAAAATTAATGTATTTGAGAAATTGAGATACGACTTGTTATGTAGTTGCCATTTGTTTACCTTTCTGAAAAGCGTTCTTTACTTTTCATTTCATTTTTTTTCAAATATATTCATCTCCTGCAAATTGCAATGATGATTTTCCACTTCTAGGGTGGTGGACGACGAGTTATTGTCATTGGGACGTATCCTTTTTAAGTAGAGGATCGGTAGGTCGGTCTAGTATTTATTTAGATCTGCAGCAGAGACAAGAGTTGTGATTTGCTTCTTGTTCTTGAGACAGGTCTCCCTCCCCCAAGAATTTCTTGATCATTTTTGGATTTCTTCCATCAAATCTATTTAACTATTTAATTCGAATTTTTGAAATTTAATTTAACAGCTAAAATTATTATAATTTTTAAAAGAATATTTTATTTATAACCGTTGAATCAAATTTCAAAAATCCAAATTAATTAATTGGATGAATTTGATAAAAAAGATCGGAAAGTATCCCTTTCCCCTCCCCCAAGTCTCGTACACTCTGACTCTGCTAGTCTGCCATTCCTCCAAGCTTAATCATTTCACGTTATACCTTTCCCCTCCCCTAAGTCTCGTACACTCTCATAGTCCAAAGCTTAATCATTTCACATTTTTGAAGTCCACCCAACTCTCAAGCTAGCTAAGCTAAGAGAAGCTATGACAGCTTGTCAGGTTCTTGTTGGTCTTTTTTCGTCCCATGCAGCTTGTCAGCTACCCACCAAAAATAAGGCACGCACACATCTCTCTCGCTTCTCACTTTCCCTTGCATGCATAAAACAGTGACCCAAGTACAAAAGTTGAAGTTGATGACATATGCCCTGTGTGGATTCCTTTATCAAGATATTTTTTTAGAAAATTTTAACGAAAAGCTTTCAGTACTGTTCATTTTAACGAAAAATCACATTTTTACACTAAAAAGTTAATCTTGATACTATTCACTTTACTTTTTATTTTGTCCTTATTATTAAAACTCAAAATTTTTAAACATTTTTCATTAATTTTCCTTAATTTTTATGATAATATGGGATATGAGATTTTTTTGTAGCTTTTAAACGACAGATTTTTAACTAAAAACATAAAAAAATGAGATCCGGTAGTTAAAATGCATGTGAAAATGTAAGATGAAAGATTAACTGTAAATTTCTATTTAAATATAAAGAAGGAATACAATATCTTTATATTAGTATTTTTTTTTTCACGTGATAATGTGAGAGCACAATACAACTCAAAACTTAAAGGCGAATAAAGACAAAGAATACGTGAACTCCATTTACACTCACACCTCAAAACTGCAAACCAAAAACTATCTAGAGGAGTCATTTAAGTACAAGAGTTAATTATTCATTTGCCTATGAAGTTTTGTATTTGTCCATTTCAGTCCCTATTTCATTTTTTGTTCCTAGTAAAGGAGGCAGATTGTCTGCCCTCCTGTTATCGTGTCATTCTCATCCCCTCCTATTTGTGCGGTAACGATTAAACCACGTCAACATTTTATATTTCTATTACTTTTTGTCTTATTATCTCTATTAAAAATCAATATAAAATGTTGACGTGACTTAACCATGACCGCACAAATAGGAGGAGATGGGAAGGGCACAATAACAAGAGGGTAGACAATTTGCCTCCCCAAGTAAATCCTTCAACTTCAAGTGCATTTAGTTTAACGATGGACAAATAAGTGACATATATTGTGAGTTTTGACTAATCACCCAAATTAGTGCCTGTCCTGAGGGTAATCGGAGTAGGCACCCGCCTAGGGCCCCCACTTCGGAAGGACCCCCAATTTTTAGACGGAACTAGGCAGGTTTGGACGAAGATAGGTGAGAGCTATGCGGGCTTATATGTAAATGCTGAAATCTGAAAAAAATTGTTGCAGGGTCGGCCTTGCGCGAGGAAGAAGACAACCATATTCGCAACATCATTTTAATTGCACGATTTTACTTAAGATGGTCCCACCATCTTTTTTTTTTATATAGTTGCACGTCTTTTCTCTTTTAAATAGTCTCCACCATCTTATTTTTACTTTATTGTTTCTCTCTTAAATATCACCTTTATGTTTATTTTATGGGATTTTATTACCCTATTTTAAGATCACACCACATGTATCTTTATTATGTACCTAAAAGGTTAAAACTCGCACCTTTTTGACAAATGACATTATGTAATGTTCAAATTAATTAGTTTATATAATATATAATAAATTATTCAAATCCGCCTCGTCTGCCTAGGTTCGTATACGAAAATTATTATCCTCTTCACTCTAGTATTTCCCCTAGCTGTAAGAAATCCAACCATTTATTCATTTATTGAATGTAGTAACATTGTAACAATAGAAAATTGATTGGAATTTGGCGTATATGGACTTCTCTTTCGGTTTGAATTGGTTGAAAAATTAAATTATGTAAACTTAATAAGTGCATTTGCATCTAAAAACGCGAGACGGGTAATATTTGAGTAATATTTGTATATTTTTGTTTTTTATATTAATTTTTAAAGATATTTGATGTAGAAATAGACTTTTCATATATTTAGTGAATTTTTTTTACACATGTCAATGTACAAAGGGTCGGGAGTCAGAGAACTCTAGGACCCCACTTCGAAGGCTCGCTTAGGATCCCAAATTCTCAGGGCCGGCCCTGACCCAAATCTAATCCCTTGATTCACAATTATATCTACTTCCTTCACACCATGGTTCTCCTACAGCCTCCTATTCCACCTAGATTAATTTCATGGTGTATATTAATTAGTGGAAAAAATAATTATAAGAATTTTAAATATAAAAGAATGATAAAAGATTATATCTAAGATTTCTATGTGATGAATTTTGAGTGGATTGAAAGTGCCACTCAGCAAAGTCCAGTGACAAGTTAAACTCCGCACAAATTTTTCTCTACACGTTGTGAATTGTGACTTCCGTTTGCCCCCATTTATTTTTTATTGGATCTAATTTGTGTTGTAACCAAACTGGGATAACCAAAAACTTCATAGGGGCAAACTTGCGATACAACCGATCTACAACGAAGAAGCTGTACATACTAGTATTTATGTATATGTTTGAGGGTGTATATGTAATATTTCATTAGTTAAATCCTTTGATGATGTAAAATAATAGTAAATAATAGCCATGGTTAAAGAAAATTGTGGTCACTAAACATTTGATCTGAATCGACTGGTGGAAGAAAAAGTACAACAAAAGTTCAATGACCACCTATCGTGAAATTAAGACCGAATAATGAATGACCACGATTTCTTTGGACCATGAAGTCTAGGAGAACATGACTTTGTAAAATAAAGAAACATGAATGTGGCCTCCAAGTCCAAGTAACCCTAACACTAATAAGAAGAGAAAAAAACCCTCGTAATCCCCCATCCTTAGAGTAGAATTGCGTCGCATCAAAAACAAAAACGTCTCACCAAAAGCTGAAATTGGAACAAGAAGCCACTGCTGTAAATCTATACTTTGGTTTCTCACAATATCTGAAGTACAACTACATGAATACAAGCTGTATATATAAAAGAATAGGAAGATGTAGGTATTGGCATGTTCTTAACAAGGCAAAGTACATGTTATGTTAATTAAGACCTACGGATATCTGGCTTGGTTAGCAGAAAAATTGGTTCTTCTCGGCGGTTCTTATCGGAGGGAGGGTGGGAACTGCTGTAGATCTTAGCCTCCAAATTTATGGGATACGTCTTCCCTTCAGTTCTAACTCCAACAAAATGGTAAACAAAGGCCATCTCGCAGCAACAGAGGGTTGATTCGGATGATCCCCCAAGCACGTGTAGCAATTTTTATATTAAAGCAAGTGACATAAACAACACCCATATACATCCACAACCACTTATCCACGTCGCTCTTCAAATGCTAGACATACCAGAAACCAAAACTCAGATGGCGTTGCTAGTACGAGCTAGTCTCTGAGCTTCTTCCAAGTCCTTCAAGAACCTGCATTTGCCAGCGAAGAAATAATTGAAGCAGGGCATCTTATTTTAGACAATTTCAATTAGATATAGTAACTAACTAGAATACCCTACAATTACCACAGATAATTCAAGACCTCCAAAGAAAATGTACTAATATTTACTCATCACAACCTCCCATTTTCCATAATTGGTTAGGTGTAAGTGAATGCTTATTTATCATGTTCTTGAAACTTCTAGGAACTCAATTTGTAGATGAATTGGACTGATACGAACAAGTAGTGCGACACGAAATAACCCAAATAAGTGAATATTTATCATGCCAAAAATCTCATACTTACATCCAACATAAGAAAGGAGTGGTATCAAGTCGGACCACTAAAAGACTGTTAGAAATCCAAGCATTAAGTGAAGCTAGTACAGCAAGGTAAACTTCTTTTTCACTTATAAGTTTATAATGCAAGTATTTCAGCATAAATTACAACAATGACCTGAAACATACCTTTTAGAATTGAGAATCACAGAACCACCAAGTACAAAGCGAATTCCAGTATTCATAGCATTTTGTAAAGCTACACAACGAGACTCCTCGTAAGTTGTCCCCCCAACAATGAAAATGACCACATCTTGAGGCCTGCATGGAGATCATAGGCGTAATTTAGAATATTAATCCAAATTATTGTATTTTTCTACCCTCGCACTATGACAAGTTTCATAGATTAATGTAGTCTGTGGGTCCCTAGAGATTAAACTGGACAAAATGGAGTGGGGTAGACAAACAAGGTCGGGCAACTTGAGAAGAAAAAGAAAGGAACGACCAAGCAGCTGGTAATTAAAAACAGTAAAGGTTTATATCCAAGTCATTTGAGATGTCTAGGAGAAACCAGCAAGAAACCTGGACACTAACAGAGTGTCTGAAATTATGAAAATTATGAACTGCAAAGCAATCATGAAAACCAGTGATTAAATTTAAGGTCCTTTAGACGGTCATCCTGTCTACAGAAGGTAGTATGGGCCTCAATGACCTCCAAACTTGTCCGCAAGCACTGATTTCATGTAGAGTGATTCTGTTTATACCCATTAGTTGTCTCTGGATAACCAAATTTCCCCTGACACCCATATAATTAATTTATCTTTCTCTGGACACCCATAGTATTTTATAATATCTCACTATTAACCTCGTTTAAAATTTAAAAGAAAAGGATAAAAACTGAATACTAAACCAACAACGCTATCACTGGCAAACTCTGCCGTCGTTTCCTAAAAAACAGCAGCAATAATGTACAAAGGCTAAGTTCTTAGTTTATTTGGAGGAAGAGGTCGAAGAGAAGGTGGGAACAAAGACAAAGTTTTGGCAATCAGGTACGTAGATTTGCAGAACAGCCTGTGAGGATTGTTCAGCGGAAAGTTTGGCAACCATGGATATGCGGGACGGGTGTGGGTGTTGTATCGATCTATGAGACTCTTGCAATTCGTTCCACTCATTTTTAAGGATCAGATCATATGTTTGACAACATTCGTACTCTTGGATCTTAATATGTAGGTTCAGGGTTTAGCATCTTAATATGTTAACTTCCATGATGTCCGAGCAACCTCCCTGACCCCTTTTCCTTCTCTCTTTTTTAATTGAAGCCTTTTTTACTTTTTAAATTATAGTTTCCTTAACAGTAATCTTCAAAATCATATAATCAATCATAATTTGGACATTTTGGTCATTTTTGTTAAAGGATATATTTGTCCTCAAAACAAATTTTGTAAACTTGGGTGTCCTCTGTTGAGAGACGAATTTTGGGTGTAAACAGAACCACTCTTTCATGTATCTCACTAGTAAACTCAACACTGAAGAATGAACTGTTATTAAGAAGCACCCAAGAAATGGGCTCCAGGCAGCATGCATAGCATACGGGTTTCAGGGTGCAGGAGCTTCATTTCAATGCTCCTCGAGTTTTTACTCTTGGAGATATGAAATTCCCAAAATTAATAAAATTATAACTTAAAACTGACTTCCTGGGGAAAGTACTTCAAAATGAAATAGAATAAGACTTCAGAGACCAACCTGCCCTGCTGGAAATGATTTCCCACAAATGGATAATCCACATCTCTCAGCCGTCCCTTACTGATGCTTTCCATAGTTTGGAAGAGAAGAGGCTGGTGTTGCGTGTACACATTCTCAACCCCCTACAGCATTTAAGATATTATCTATATGCTTGTAAAGCACAACCTATAATATGCAAAGAGTGTAACTTTCCCAAACAAACCTTCAGCCCACGAGCCATGTTACGTGCAATGTTTAAGAAATCTCGATTTCCAAAAAGATCCCCGGTTCGCTTATCCACACCCGCTTGCTTCAAGAGAAACTGGACAAGCTGTAATTCCACAATAGATAATTTATTAAACCCGTGAAATAATTTTGGAAGCTAAAATAAAGGTACATTAGAAGCATAAGCTCTTATTGAGCCTCCCAAAGAAGGGTCAATCTCCAAAACAATTGGATAAGCAAAACTAAAATAAAAATCACCATCACCAATGATCTGAATGAAGGTAGCTGTTGAACTTCGAGGGTCAGGCTTTAGGAATTAAAATTTTCCACTTAACCACAGATATGTGACCCCACTCCCTCCCAAAGAAAAATGAAGGAAAAAATGACATGAGGTAAAAGAATCCAAACAAGGATGCTATCTTGGTTACATTACCCCAGGCTTGTACTATGGAGGAGATTTGAACAGTGACAGGCATTTGCATGACTACATAATGCAGCCTAGTTGCACAGGATCTCCTTTCTCATAGAATAAGTTAATGACATGCAAGTCGTAGGCGATCATAAAGAGATACAAGCGAAGTTCACCTTGCATTAAGGAAAAAAATATGTTGTTTTGAGTAGTACAGTCAAAACTCCAGTTATTGCAAGCCAACTCCGTTCTGTCTGTGATATTAAGTATGCTCTTCAACTAGCTTACTGTCTGTTCTGTTACCAGTGCCACATGCTGCCTGCTTTTTCCGTGCCTTTTACTCAGGGTAATTGTCAAACTTGGCAGTGTCCTCTGCGATAATGAATGTACACAGTTAGTTACCAGCAACCGTTCCATGTGGGGCTATGCAATAGTTAGTAACTACAAGTCAAGACTCTCAAATTTTCATTTTGCATCCTACGACTATCGTCTGGATGTTCTGGTTACTTTTTTTGAAATTCAAATTAATCCAACCAACTTGATGTTCATCCCAATATCACCAAAGTTCTCATGTTTTTTTTGAAAAAAGCATCTTGTTCTGATGACAGCACAACCTCCTATGAGCATCAATACCAAATGTATTTGTTTAGCAAGAAAAATTACAAATACAGATACTTAAAGTACTGAGGGAAAATAAAACTCAACCTGTTGATCCTTTGGAAATTTTCCAATGTTTCGTAAGTCGACTTTGTTGTCTTGAATACCAATCAATTCGTGAACCATTGCCTGAAATTAGATTAATAAATGAGCTCTGTTTATATTTCAGGTGATTTTGTCCCATTGTAATTTTAAAAGCAAGCATCAAGATGAGACAATGTCACACATCCAGTAAATGTTAGTCATGACACAATTACCTGATAGGTCCACTGATTCAGGGGTCACAGGTGATCATCCCTCCTATCAATACCAGCATAAGGAGAAATTTTTCTGTTTCGCTTCTGAAATCAAAAAGTCTGCTTTGCCTGCTGGTCACAGAAGCACTTCTGACTGCGGAAATACACATGTGACTTTGATGGCACATTCAAAGTAAAATGGTAAAATCAGTTGCAACAAAGTTGCATAGAACTATGCAAGACCAAGATATAGCCTAATTGAAGCGTAGAATATCTAAATAATGTATTTCATGGAGTCTTTTCATTGCAAAAACTATCAAATCCATAAACTACGTTACACACAGAATTGTAAATTTTTCTTTATCTGGGAAAAGAGAACTTCACTCATGACATTCTGTAAAATAGTCATGCATTAGAACAGGGATTTATTATAGTTAGTTTTCGGTTGAAGTTATTACTATTAGTTCTTAAAAAAGAAACAAGAGCAACAGAAATTGATTCCAACCATGCATTTAAAAGGGATTATTTTGCAATTGTTAGTTTTCGGTTAGCTTCCACATAATACTTAAGCTTACTCACATTGGATACATGAATACTGTGGTCCCGTTACCAAAGCCAGCACGAACAGGTGAGTTCAAGGTCCCTGCTTTGGTCAGCTTCCCTACATTCATGAAATCCATGTTCACAAGTCTTAATAAGCCACATTGAGTTGGAGGTGACCAAAAGAACTAGGGAGTTAAAGGTCTCTTGGCTTGATTATAAGGTTGAGATTAAGTCCAAAATGGTGATGTTTTCTATAAACCTCAGATTCGAGGCGAGGTGAGTCCCATTCTTTGGGTTACTAGGTGACCACGGAAAGGTCCCTCACCCTTGGCTTTGATAATAAGTGTTGAGATTAAAACATTAAATGCGTATTCATTTCTTATCCAACCTCGATATCAAATCGAAGGATGAGTGACCATGCATTCCTGGTCACTAGGTGACCAAAAGAACATTTATCTGGCTGTTAGTTACAAACTTCACTACTTATGATGTATTTCTCAAATTGCTGGCATCCCAAATAAAATTGGAAGTCCAAATTCAGTTAGCAATGTGCATTACATACATAAATTTTCAGATAATCGAAACGAACATGCGAGAAAGCATTTGAGTGAATGATGAATTACCTGAAGTTGCTGCACAACTTCATGCTCATCTGAGTCAGCTAAAATATGAATCTGGGTATCCTTCAATATGTTGGAGAAAACTGTAAAATTCCGGAATTCCATGAGAAATGAGCTCCAAATATCATCTGGGTACCCTTCAAACACACTCCACAACCAAAATAACATAAAGAAACATCAAAACTTACAGAGGTGATAGTCTCCAAATCGAGGAGCAACCAAGTGCCGGCGCAAATACTGTATATTCTCTGAAGTGGGTGCGAGGAAGTAGACGGCTTTGAGGTGAGACATGGATTCTCTGGACTTGGAAATGGAGTCTACCAATTCCACCAGAAACACTTCCTTCTGAAGAAGCTCGGATTGCGAATACGCCACGCTGACTATACTGACCTACGCCACAATCAATCAAAAAAAAAAAAAAAAAACAACCAATTATTTGCTCGATCACAATTGCTTCAGAAAAATTTTGAAACTTTTCGAGAGTTGAAAGGGTTGTTACCGTGTGGGAATCCAGGATGAGAACCTTCATGCCGGAGATGTCCTGCAACATCCGACTCAGGTAATCCCGTACGGCCGAGACCAGCACCATTTTCAGATATACGGCTACGATCTGAAGCGGATGATTGTGATGATGATATGTTCAATTGCGTGTAGGAGAAGAAAAAGTTGCAGATCTACGAAGACGGAGGGGGAACGGGGAAGGAAGAAGAAATGAAGGACTGGTGGTCCCTAAAACGCGCGGTTTTCCTTAATATTTTCTTCTTCTTTTTGTTTCTTTATGTTTTTTTTTTTTAGAAAACATTTTCTTTTTCTCTTTTGCAGTGAGGGTAAAAGTAAAAATAAGCCTCAACTCATCATCGGCCACTTAATTCTATAATTTAGTGTTATTTCTCATTTTGTTAGTAAGAGGTTAAAAATGTGACTTTCATAAACAGCGTGTTTGATATTAAACTATTATCAATGAGAAGCATCAATTTTATCCGGCTTAGCACCAATCTCACGGCCCTTATCGTGGTTTAGTATCAGTGTAGTTTTTTTATTTTTTTTTTATTTTAACAAATGATATTATTTACAAAGAGGATAGGAGAGTAAGCTAAGCTTCATAATAGGCTAGCAATAATTGGTTCAAATTCGATTTGGTGAGAATAAACCTAATACCTCTCACTTACAAGTTAAGAAAAATATTATTAGACTGTAGTGCTAAGTGGCTATTATGGTTTGGGAACAGTTAGAACCGCAACATTCCTAAAGAAAACAAATTTCCAAGGCTCTTTGTTATTAAGATGCAATTAGGACTCATTTAGAAACACTTTTAGTTAAAATGGTTTTTGAATCTATCATTAGTAAAAACGCAAGTAAATTTAAAAAAAAACACATGAAATGCTTTTTGAAAGAAGCAAAAAGTTGATTCTTCTTTTTCCAGGAAGTACTTCAAGTGCCTTTGAAACCCAAATATTTTATGTCTAAAAAAGTCTTCAATCATTTTAAAAGTTCTTCCAAACGAGTGAAAGTGGGTGGGAAATGGTTCAAGAATAATGAAAGACTTACTATGAAAACTATTAGACCAAAAACAAAAACAGGAAAATATGGATTACTTCAATTTTATTTACTTGTTCTGACTCGCCGTTTTCTTACACTTGCATTGACCATTCTTTTTCTTTACCCACTATAACAATACTGACAGAGAGAGAGAGAGTCCTTCCATCACACACAGATCGTAGATTCCCAGTTTTTTTTTTTTTTCAGAATTCGTTTATTTGTCTCTTTCCATATATATATTTTTAAATGTTATAGAAAATATTCCCCAATTGTTTTGTGTCTTGCCAAATATTCCCCCATCTCGTCGTTTTCACAAAACAGCAACAACAGAGACTGCTGGTGGTGGTGGTGGTGGTTCCTCCCCAGGCTTCTTCTTCTACTGAATCAGCAACCATGAGAGGTTCCTCCCCAACTCCCATTGAGCCCCGACACCGCCTTTCTACTTCTGCCAGGTCACTACCCTTCTCTCTCTGTATATATTCTCACTATTTTTAGTGTAATTTGCATTCGTTTTGCCGACAGTGTTCGATTTTTAATTTCCATACTCCAAAAAAATGATCATGTAAGAAAACCCTCACTTGAATTTTTGTGTTGGCAACTCAAAATTCAAAATTTGGGTCAGGATTCATGAATTTTGATGAATAGTGGGTCTGGAACCACTTATGATTTATGATTTTTATTTTATTATTTTAGTGTGAATTTGAATTGAGGAGTTTTGGTAATGATTAGGTTATAGTTTATTTACACTGTCTGAATTGAACGGCTTATAGTTGGTGAATGGTGATGGTGCAAGGGATTACTTTCGCGATCGGGTTCTTGGGTTCTTTCAATGGGGATGTAGAACATTCATTATTCATATATTTGCTGTTTTAACATATCTGTGAAGAGTGCATTCCCAATGATGGAGTTGATTGCCGAACAATCGATTGTATTGGTGGGTGGAACTTGGTTCCAATTGCATTCACTTATTTACTGAATGATGGTCTCATGTAGCTATGAATCCCTTTTTGTTTCAGTGACGACTCTAACAAAAGAAGGCCCCAGAGGAACAAAGATTTTAAAGATATTGAGAAGTTCCTCCACGTTCCCGTGCAAGATAGAACTTTGAACTGCAAGCCCACCTTGAAGCTTGTGTTGGCTGTTATTTTATTGGGGACTTTTCTCACGCTTATCTTCTCTCCTGGTGTTTATCATTCAGATGATAAATCCCGTTCCATATCTCAGTATATCCCTGTTAGCTCATCACATTGCTTTTACTTATTATTTTATTCCCATTTTCTTGCTTCAATATATACTTCTTCTTTGCGTTGAGGTTTTCGAGAGGTATTTCCCCACCTGGAAAAATATAGTCAGTGCACCCTTCTTTGTAAAGAAAATGGGATTTGGTCTTTTTTTTTTTGTTGGCTTTGCTCTCTCTACCAGTGGAAATATTTTGTAACAGAAGTTTACTGCCTGCAGCCCAACTTCTGAAGACAGGTCGACAAGAAAGAGTGTTGCTCAAGATTTACATTACATATCATCTGTAGAAATTAACTGGGATGAAATTTCTGATGCTATTGAAAATCTGGCAGACAGAAAGGATTATCAGGGAATTGGCTTGTTAAACTTTAATGATGCTGAGATTGACCATTGGAAGGAGCTGTTGCCAGATTGTGAGCATGTTGTTCTACGCCTCAATCATGCGTCGAACAACATAACATGGGAAACCCTATTCCCTGAATGGATAGATGAAGAGGAAGACTTTGAAGTTCCTACTTGTCCCTCCCTACCAAAGCTTCAGATTCCTGGAAAACCAAGGCTTGATCTGATTGCTGTGAAGCTTCCCTGCAACAAGTCAGGCAGCTGGTCAAGAGATGTGGCTCGGTTGCACTTGCAGCTTGAAGCAGCAAGGCTGGCTGCAGCTTCCAAAGCGTATCACCCAGTGCATGTGCTTTTGGTGACAGACTGTTTCCCAATCCCAAATTTGTTCACTTGCAAAGAGCTTGTCAGACGGGAAGGGAATGTATGGCTTTATGAACCAAAACTGAATACGTTGAGAGATAAGCTACAGCTCCCTGTAGGTTCATGTGAACTTTCAGTTCCTCTCACGGCTAAAGGTCAGATTTAAACTAGTGTCTTTTGTTCTTTTTTAATCAAAATTTGTTTTTGTGCAACAAGAGCTGCTTGTCTGCCTCTCTTGAATTACTCTTTCTTTTTTATTTCCTTTCAGTTTTTCAAATTTCACTTTCTTTGATTCCTTTAAAATGTAGAGTTCAGTTCATTCATAAATGATTTTCACATTTGTGTGGCTGGGCATCATAGAATTCAATTGGTAGTTGTTTCAAAAAACTTTAGTTGTTTCTGTGGAGCTTAGTTTGAGGTGTAGGTTTTGTATGTTATTGCTGGGCATCGTAAAATTCAATTGGTAGTTGTTTCAGAAATCTTTTGTTGTTTATGTGGAGTTAGTTTGAGGTGTAGGTAGTGACGCACACCAGGGAGATAATATTGCTTATATAAAGGTCATCCCACATCAAATGAACTAAATAATCTTGAAACAAGTTGTGTATTCATTCCAGACATAGGCAGAGATCGTGATAACAACCGATTAGGTGTCTATAAGTTTTAGTCAACTTTTTGGGATCAAGTACAGCAGGTCCATCCCAACGTGCATGCATGATGCAAATGCATGACATCCCTGATTGTAGTTGCTGGCTCATCACGTGGTCAGAGTGATCAACAACCCTCATGATTCATGATGTCCAAAATTGTCATCCAACTGAAAACCCTATAAGATGTATGAATGTGTAAACCACAGAACTGATGCACCATGTTTATCATGTGCTAAGGAGATCCGCTACGTCAGTGATTGATGCTAGTGCTGACCACCTGACCAGCTTTAACATTAGTTGTTGAAGAAATTTGTGAAGATCATATTTTTAACTTTTGGGCTTTGATTGTGAAATCTAGACTCCATCTTGTAACTCATATGTAGTAGGTTCAGTGACTTTGGTTGCATCCCGTAAGAAAGCTACTTAAGTCATGGATACTTTTGAAATTATACTGATGAACTAAATACTTGCACGCAGAAAGCTTTTACTCGGAAAGAGCCCACAGAGAAGCATATGCAACAATCCTACATTCTGCCCATGTGTATGTTTGTGGAGCCATTGCTGCAGCTCAGAGCATCCGTATGTCTGGTTCAACACGAGATCTTGTAATACTTGTTGATGAAACAATCAGTGAGTATCATCGTGGAGGGTTGGCAGCTGCTGGGTGGAAGATCCACACAATCCAAAGAATCAGGAACCCTAAAGCTGAACCAGAAGCATACAATGAATGGAACTACAGCAAATTCCGTCTTTGGCAGTTAACTGATTATGACAAGATCATTTTCATTGATGCTGACATGCTTATACTTAGGAACATTGACTTCCTGTTTGAGATGCCAGAAATATCAGCGACAGGAAATAATGCTACTCTGTTCAACTCAGGTGTCATGGTTATCGAACCATCAAATTGTACATTCCAGCTGCTCATGGATCATGTTGATGAAATTGTGTCCTACAATGGTGGGGACCAGGGTTATCTGAATGAGGTATTTACATGGTGGCACAGGATACCAAAACATATGAACTTCTTGAAACACTTCTGGGAAGGTGATGAGCCGGAGAAAAAGGAGAGGAAAACACATCTCTTTGCATCTGAACCCCCAATCCTCTACGTCCTCCATTACCTGGGAAATAAACCATGGCTTTGCTTCCGTGACTATGACTGCAACTGGAATGTGGACTTTCTGCAGGAGTTTGCCAGTAATGTTGCACATAGAAGGTGGTGGAAAGTGCATGATGCTATGCCGGAAAACTTACAAAATTTCTGTTTGCTTCGGTCCAAGCAGAAGGCAGCACTAGAGTGGGATCGGAGACAAGCTGAGAAAGCAAATTACACTGATGGTCACTGGAAAATTAAGATAAAAGACAAGCGTTTGAAGACATGCTTTGAGGATTTTTGCTTCTGGGAGAGCATGTTATGGCATTGGGGTGAAAAGAATTGGACCGATAATGCTACTGCTTCTCTATCACCACCTGCACTTACCACTGCATCCGTCGCTTCTTCGTGACTTGTTTTGCGTCACGTTTTCGTACTTCATACTGAGGACACAAATCAAAACACAATGCATGCTTACACAAGCGCGAAAGAAAAGTATATCTCCCAGAAATTCAGTTAGTATCGAGCTCAACAACTTCCTTGTAATTCAATTCATAGTCATTGTTTTTTTTTTTTTTTCAGGTGCGTGTCATGTTGTCCGGTGTGTTTTTCAATTTCCAGGTAGGTTTGGTTGCTTTTACCTGTTCTTACCATGAAGAATTGTCCCGCATCAAAAGTTTACCAAACCGTACTAGTGATTAGGAGTTGGGTTACTTTTTCTATTGCTAATTGGTTGTTTGGACAAACATCAATGTCCTTTAGAGCATCTTCACCCGTTAAGTGGACAGCAAAGGCAAGAGCATGTAACCTGCCCTTGCTATTCATTCGGAATAGTACTTGCATTTGTGCAACTCCACTTGGTTGGAAAGTGCAAGGGCAAGTAATATTCAGGAACATTTTTATTTTTTTTATGCTTTGAAAATAAAATGATTGTCAATTCTAATAAATTATTTCAAATACAAAGGAAAAGCTTGATGTTACAACAAGCATAATTATTATTATTATTTTTTTTAAAGAATTTGAAAAGTGGAAATATAGAAGATTGTAGTAAAAATGAATAGAGTTGTGATGGGAAATTACCAAGATGGGTTGTTAGAGATTGTGACAGCATATTTTTTCTATTTTTTTTCTATTTTTTTTCTATTGTTCTGCTTTATTTTCTATTTTTTATCATTGATTTTCAAACCGATCTAAAATCGAACACACTACAACGCGCCACATGTCCTACTCGGCATTTCAAATTTTTTATTGTTGGAAATCCCACGGTCCAGATTATCTGGCCGTTGATAATCCAAGGACCCTCAAGAAGCAATATCAACTAGCCATTAGGTTGTCTGCTGTTGAATTGTTGTCAGACACTCTCCTTCTCACATGTGTTACACGCGCCTAACAAAAAAAAAATTCTCATGTGGCTGACGTCAGCCAGCTTGCTGGCAAAAGGCTGCCCCATCTTGCTCATTCATTTAGACAGGTTTTGTATGGCCCACCAGTTGCCCCTGCAAATTTGGACGAGTGAATGTTGCTTTTTGGGTTAGAAGGCATCTTTTGTGCCTTTGCTCTTACCTTTCATCAACCGGTGAAGATGCTCTTAGTATTATCCTATCATCGTGATATGCTCTGAATTTAACCTAAAAATTTCTCCATATAAAAACTAATACACTACCATTTTCTTAGTTTTGTTCACGATATTTATTGTAAATCCGTAAGCTCTCCCAACTATAAATTGTAGCTCTGCCAATAAATCTAGTCTAAGAAATTCTCCATATGATGGGTGTAATATAACCTACCAAAAATATTTCTCTCTTTTAGGGCACGTTTACTAATCCGTAATCAAATTGAGAGGAATTGGATTGAGGGGGAATTTGATTGAGGAGGAATTGAAATGAAGTGGAATCAGAATCAGATTCATGTTGAAGTTGTTTACTAAAATTGTCAAGAATCGGAGTAGGAATGATGTTGAGTCCATATAAGTTGTTTACTAATTCATTTCAATCGGAATGAAAACTAGGTTGATTACTATATTGCCCATTACATAAATAAATTATTTTCATACTAATTAATTAAATTAAATTCTTAATTAAATTTATATAATAAAATTCATCTATATAAGCATGTGTAAATAGGTTTTATTTATGTATTAAAAGATGGCAAGAATGATATTGAGTCCATATAAGTTGTTTACTAATTCACTTCAATCGGAATGAAAACTAAGTTGATGACTAAATTGCCCATACATAAATAAATTATTTTCATACTAATTAATTAAATTAAATTCTTAATTAAATTTATATAATAAAATTATCTATATAAAAATATATAAATAGGTTTTATTTATTTATTAAAAATGACATAATGAGTGTCAAATGAAGGGCAATGTTGGGATAATAAGAAACAAGTGAGGGCATATTTGGAATAAAAGATGCATTCCCGATTCCCTTGCCCTCAGGGAATGCAAATACCTCACAAAACTAGGGAATCCCATTCCTCCAATTTCAGGAATTGGATTCCTTGTTTCGTGTGGGCTCCACCACTTTTTTGATTCCTTAATATTTAATAAACACCGAAATACTCCGTAATTAGAATTTAATTCTCTTTCTTTATTCTGATTACCCTTACGTAAACATGCCACAGTTGTTGATGAATCAAAAGTTTGCCATGATTCATTCCTAAAATCATTTGATTTTTTGAAACTTCTTTTTGGAACTTTCCTTAACTTTCTTGACCACAATTATTGATGGATCACCTACTGCACTAATAAGCAATAATAAAAGGTTAAAATAATACCAACCCCACATATTCCCAAAATAAAGAAATGAATAAAAATGAAAATAAAAGACAAAGCTTGGTTGTTTAGGGTAAGATGTCATTAATTAGTTAACATGGATAAACCATATACCAAACATAGGTAATTAACAAGAATGGGTGTGAGTGGCTAGGTTCATCTAATCCCACTGCCAATTAACATAAACCATATACCAAACAAAGCTTATTAAAATAATTTAGTATTTGGCTGTGATATCCACACACCTCATTTTACTTCTCTTACACCTTTTTAATTTTCGACCGTCGGATCGGATGAATTGAAGGAGATCAACGGACAGAAATTATCAAATGGTGTGTGAGAAGTAAAATGAGGTGTGTGGATAACATACCCCTTTAGTGTTAAGTGTCTATCACATCACCATCACCATTGTTTTTTGTTTTGTTTTTTTAAAACACTCACTTTAACGAGCCATTAGTTAATGAGAACTTATTAGTCTAATAATATTTAAGGTCAGATTAAGGTAAGGCCTTCTAAAATTTGATAAGCCTCGGAATGCTTATCTGAGAAATGCTAATGAATATGCAGATGATTTTAACCAAAAATTAGGAAAGAGTCGACATACAGATTAGCTGTCTATTTTATTTTATAAGCACGTCTACAATGTTTTATAATTATTTTTTGAATTGAGTGATATTCTACCTAATGTAGTCCTTTCTATTTGAGGTGTATTAGGACATCACGCTATTCTGGTCCATTTAAATGCATTTATGTGTTATAATTGGCGTTTAAAGTTTCTTGAATAAGATATCTTACTAAATTCTTCATAGTTTAAGCTTGGCCAAAATTTAAAAGTTTGCTTCCATTCACTTCAGTACATTAAATTTAGGGTAAGGCTATTCACACACTTCTTTTTACTTTTTACACACTTATATTAATTTTTGTCCATTGATTTTCTTCAATTCATTCGTTCCGACTATCGATAACTAAGAAGAGTATGTAACAGGTAAAAATAGGTGTAGAGAAAACACCTCCCTAAATTTATTTAGTTAACCAATTCAAGTCGATCCTATACACCCGAAGTAAACTTGATACTTATGCACCACAAAATTATTTAAACATGCCATTTTTTCTCTTCTTTTTTTCCACATAATTTGGAGAGGCTTTGTGGCGCCACAACAACAACAAAAATAGTAATGTTACCAAGAAAATTGATAGTGACAACATAACCTAACTGACGTGGCTTGGAAAGTAATGTTAAAAATGCTTAAAGCCAGATGAAAGAACGACACATGGCTTCTGTTTGGTCAGAGGGATGGCATGGAATTAAATAAGATTTCTGACCAAAATGAAGGAATGATATGCATGCAATCAACGGCGAAGACAGAAATTGTCCGGAGGAGGTGGGAAAGTTAAACTGTTCAAGGTTCCGAAAAAAATGTGAACTACCCGGAATATTGTAGGAGAATTTGCACTAAAATATTCGAAGTAGGAATTGGACATGACCTGATTTAGGCAAATTTGAACAAATTTATTATGTATTGTAAATAAGTTTCTATTTATAATATACATATAATATCTAAGAACATTGACTATATAAAACATATAATATATAAAAATATTGACAAATTTTTTTATTACTTTGTTGCATTTGGCAGTAGGAGATAAAAATTCAAATGATTACAAATTCGTAATACTTTACAAAATATTTTTTTAAAGTTCATATGAATTTATAATAAATTTGAAGATAAATAATAGTGTCAAAAATGTGTCTAAAAATATTGAAAAAGTAGGCAAATTAATCAATCAATAATTAAAAAACAAAACAAATCTCAATATAATCAGCACATTAAATAGCTAGCTATGTGGCCCAAACTGATTGAGTACAATAGTTGAAAAACCAAATCAAAGTGGGTAACTTTGAAACGGCACATGAGGTGGTGTGGGGTGGGTGAGAGAGAAAATCTATCTTCTTCCTCTCACCCTTCTTCTTCGTTACTTTTCAGTAGCTGCAAATGCAAAGTTTGGGTATTTTGAGAGGAAAAAAAAGAAGAGAGAGAGTCTGCGCGCAGGAAACCCAGAACACCAGAAAACCAGATGAGACCAAAAGGGAGGAACCACAGGTCCTGGGCTTGATTTCGGCTTAGGAAGGGGCGGCCGCCCCTCCTCGCCCTTATTTAGCTGTACCCATGCTTACAACAACACTTATATGCATCGGCTTTCTTATTATTTGTGACTCTCAATTCAATAATGTATTAAATAAGCACAAATTTTATTTAACTTGCCTTCAGGCCGTCTTTGCTTTAGTGCCACATCACTTTTTTGGCTCAAGATACGTATAAGAGAGATCTCTTGTACTTCGATTACAAAATTAAGTTCATGTAATATAAATATAATAGATGAACTAATAACGCGATAAAGAAGCTTCTAATCAGCCAAATTTTTTTAATGTTATAACAATGAGATAAGAATTGTTGTTGACTGTTTGCGGAGTAGGTTTGCTTTATATTTGAGCCTACTCTTCTTCATGATTAATCATTATTGCGTAAAAGGTCTTCCAACATGGGGAGAGAGAGAGAGAGAGAGAGAGAAAGAGAGGCAAAACAAATGAAAAACTTCGCGTAAAAACTTTGGCACAGATGAGGATTGAATAAGACCGAAAAAGGTGTGTACCAAAAACCAGAATAGGATGACCAACCCGAGGCAAAGCCAAAGCAAGTTCCACGAATTGACCAACCGTCTCGTGACCTCGTCTGTCTCTCAGTGACTCAGCTGTCTCGGCCGACCAAACTCACTGCCATCCCATCACACAACAGAGCTCTTATAACGACTGCAAATCCGCTTTTTGCAAGTCTTTCTTCTGCTTTGAATTTCATTGTTTCTTTTATATGTACATATAGTGTATTTATATATCAAAAGATGAAATGGTTGAGTTGAATCAGCAGAAAAGATGAGAGGTCACTCCCCTACTACTACTCCCATTGAACCCAGACACCGCCTTTCTTCACCACCTTAGTCAGTCTCCCTCTCTCTCTCTCTCTCTCTCTCTCTCTCTCTCCAATTCAAATTTACATTTTCCTAGTGATTAATTAATGACTTCATTTTGATAGGAGTGTTTGATATTTTAGTTCCATAGTTTAGAATAATAAACATGTAAGTAAGAAATCCCTTTGCAAGAAGGAACTCGAAACTGTATCAAGAACATGTTGATATGTTTTGTTGGCGATAATGATATCAACTCACTACTGATGACATAAGCTATTGATTGTTTTGTTGATTTACCACTTCACTAGATGGTTTTTCTTTTTTTTTTGTTACATATATGTGAATGTATAGTGTATACAGATCAAGAGACGAAACTAGATTTTTTTAATTGGGTAGAGTTTTCTTTTTTCGGCACTAAATTTTGGCCTTGGATAAGGATGAACAGTTGTGTAGAAGATTTTATGATGGATATTGTACTTGTTATGATTAAGTGTAAAGTCTTGCTAATAATTAGGCCCAATTTACACTGTTTTAAGATGTGTATGGTAGCATCGTCAGAAAAGAAAATGTTAAAATCGTGCAGCTTATGTATTATGCAGCTCTGTGAGTAGTGTTTGATAAAGTCCGAAATGTTTTGGAGAGGAACTACTATTCCGGGGATTTAGCTACTTTGTCATGGTCAATGATCATGGTGCATTTGAGATTTCAAAATCGAAGTTTCGGGATCTAGTTTTTGCAAATGATGTGAGCACTTCTAATTGTAATGTGCTGAATGGAACGTAGAACATTCATATTTGTGTTGTTTCTGCATGTCAATGTGCAAAGTGCAATGTATTTCGTACGGTGGAGTTGATTGCGGAATTTTTTTTTGTCTTTCTGAGTAGAATTCTGAGCGGAACTTGTTTCCGGTGGCATCCAATTGTTTACTGCTATAAATAGTTTTTTCAATTCCATTTGTTGCTCTTCGTACTATCTTTCGCTTGCCATTTAGAATGTGCTCATGTTGTTATGAATCCCCTTTGTGTTTCAGTGAAGACACCAACAAAAGAAGGCCCCAGAGAAACAAAGTTCTTAAAGATATTGAAAAGGCCCTCCACCTTCATGCTCAAGAAAGAATCTTAAACTGCAAGCCTACCTTGAAACTGGTGTTGATCGTTCTCGTATTCGGGACTTTTGTGACGCTCTTCCTCTCTTCTGCTGTTTATAATACAGATCACCTCTCCAGCTCTGTATCTCAGTACGTCCTATGCGCTGATCACCTTGCTTTCACTTCTTATTTTGTGGTATTTGTTTACTCATAATTAGGTATTTTCTTGCTTCAACATTTGTCTCTTTTCTGATGTTGAGGCTTTTGAAGGTTACACTTTTCCTCTTCCGGGGAAAATGTATTGTTCGTAATTAACAGGCAAAAGGGCATTGCCTTTTGTTCTTCTTTGGTTTCTTTCTATCTCTCTCCGGTGGCAATAGTTGTAACACAAGTTTATTGGCTGCAGGCTAACTTCTCAACGCAGATGGATGAGAATGAGCGTTCCTGCAGATTTACGTTATGTATCATCTTTACAGATAAACTGGAATGAAATTTTGGATTTTGTTGAAAAACTCACTCACAAAAATGATTATCGGAGAATTGGCCTGTTAAACTTTAATGACAACGAGATTGACAATTGGAAGGAGCTCTTTCCAGATTCTGAGCAGGTTGTTCTGCATCTCAACTATGCGCCAAACAACGTAACATGGGAATCCTTGTATCCTGAATGGATAGACGAAGAACAAGAATCCGAAGTTCCTGCTTGTCCCTCTCTACCAAAGATTCAAATTCCTGAAAGCTCACCGTTCGATCTGGTTGCTGTCAAGCTTCCCTGCAACAAGTCAGGCAGCTGGTCAAGAGAAGTGGCTCGTTTGCACTTGCAGCTTGAAGCAGCAAGGCTGGCGGCCTTGTCCCAAGGATATCACCCGGTGCATGTACTTTTGGTGACCGACTGCTTTCCCATCCCAAATTTATTCACTTGCAAAGATCTTGTTAGACATGAAGGGAACGCATGGCTCTATGAACCGAAACTTAATACCTTGAGAGAGAAGTTACAGCTCCCTGTAGGATCATGTGAGCTTGCACTTCCTCTCAAGGCTAAAGGTAAGATTTAAAACAGTGTCTTGTGTTGCTTTTTTAAATTCTCCTGTTTCAAAGTTTGAATTTTCTTTTGAGTTGTTTTGTCGCAATGATAGCTTTTGGTATACCTCTCTTCCATTGCTTTTTCTGTTTTTGCTTTTAACTTTCCGAAACTCAAGTGTTTCCGAATCCTGCAAAAATGTGGAGTTGAGCTCATTCTGAATGGATTACTTAATTAAGTGCATCCCACAAGAAAGCAAGTGTAGTTCATGGTTACTTTGAAATTTTGCTGAATTTGTAACTGCAGTATACTTGAAAACTGATCAGATACATGTTTGTACACAGAAGATTTTGACTCGAAAAGACCCAACCGAGAAGCATATGCAACGATCCTACACTCTGCAGATGTATATGTTTGTGGAGCCATTGCTGCAGCTCAAAGCATCCGTATGGCTGGTTCAACACGAGATCTTGTGATACTGGTCGATGAAACAATCACTCAGTATCATCGAGGAGGACTGGCGGCTGCAGGGTGGAAGATCCACACAATCCAAAGAATCAGGAACCCTAAGGCTGAAGCAGAAGCTTACAACGAATGGAACTACAGCAAGTTCCGTCTTTGGCAGTTGACTGATTACGACAAGATCATTTTCATTGACGCTGACATGCTTATACTCAGGAATATCGATTTCCTGTTTCAGATGCCAGAAATATCAGCTACAGGAAATAATGCTACTTTGTTCAACTCAGGTGTGATGGTTGTCGAACCCTCAAATTGTACATTCCGGCTGCTCATGGACCATATCAACGAAATTGTATCCTACAACGGTGGTGACCAGGGGTATCTGAATGAGGTATATACATGGTGGCACAGGATTCCGAAACACATGAACTTCTTGAAACATTTCTGGGAAGGTGATGAGCCGGAGATAAAGCAAATGAAAACGCACCTCTTTCAAGCTGACCCTCCAATGCTCTATGTCCTCCATTACCTTGGTAACAAACCGTGGCTTTGCTTCCGCGACTATGACTGCAATTGGAACGTGGATTTCATGCAGGAGTTTGCGAGTGATGTTGCGCATAAAACGTGGTGGAAAGTGCACGATGCTATGCCAGGAAACTTGCAAAAGTTCTGTTTGCTTCGGACAGAGCAAAAGGCGGGACTAGAGTGGGATCGGAGGCAAGCGGAGAAAGCAAATTACACGGATGGTCACTGGAAAATTAAGATCGAAGACAAGCGTTTGAAGACGTGCAACGAGGAGTTCTGCTCCTGGAAGAACATGTTACGGCACTGGGGTGAAAAAAATTGGACAGATAACGCAATTGTTACTCCCACACTACCGGCACTCACTACTTGATCGGTCACTCCTTCGTGACCTGTTTTCTTCTTTCATACTTGAATACCGTCACGATGACATAAATCGATACGAATGTGAGAAATTTTTTTTGTAAAATTTTGTTCTCGTATTTCACTATACCAACTTTTCCATCCAGGCGGCATTGGTTTGTTTTATAAGTTTGCTAGTGCCTCTCTTGTTCCAAATTTTCAGAACTATTGGCATAATTCTTTACCTTTGTAGTCCCTCGAATTCAAATTTGAAACTCCCTCCAATTAGATTACGGTAGTTTAGAATATCGTCTTATCAAACAAAGGATATTTGCTCTAAAAGAGAGCCCTCTGCTTCTTGTAGAAGTCACTTCCCTCTCACATCCCCCTTTTCATGTTTAGAATATCATCATGGTTGTGTATTTATACTATTTATTGACAAAAATTAATCAAAAGATGATGAAGAGATGATTTAGTCTTTTAATCACAATTCAATAAAAATAGTGTGATGTTATTCCTACCCTAATGTCTTATATTTTCACCCACCTTTTAATGAATTTTTTAATTATAAATTTGGACATTAATTATCTTGTTTTGCTTAATTTTTTTTTTTTAAACGGTTGGGCTTATATTTTCATCTCCTTTCATTCAGAGGAAGTGAAAAAAATATCGATGGATTTAGAAAATGACCTTTTCATTTAACCCTTATATTTTCATCTCCTTTCATTTAGAGGAAGTAAAAAAATATCAATGGATTTAGAAAATGACTTTTTCATTTACCAGGTGGAAGTGACGCTTCTACGGAAGAGGTAGAAGATTATGTTTGCATTGAAAATGTAGAAGAATAATTTTTGTGTGTAGGTCATTTGAATTTATCTATCGTATTTTTGAATTTGTCGTTATTGAATTCTTTTGAATTTGGATACCTCTATCTTCCATTTGAATTTGCAGAACTTAGTAGTTTTTATTTACATATTATTTGTTATATTTTTTAAGAGACAATTTTATAATTTCATATGTATGTATATATTAAAGGTTATTTTGGGAATAATAGTGGGTGGGGAAATATCATTTTAATTTTTTAACTTTTTAAGGTGGGTGAGATTATAACGTGGGTGGAAAAATAAGACAATGAGCTGAGTTTAGTAACTCTCTACAAATATTAGAAAATTAAAACCATGAACATTAAGGTAATTTGCACATGAAAGTTTTTACAGCTTTTTTTTTTCCTCACGCACATGTCATCAAAGATTCACACCACATCTCTCTCTAAATCCTGCGTTTTCTCTCTCTCCTCTCTCCCGCATTTCTCTCCATAGGAAAAGGATCCTCGCCGGATCTATTTTCTAGGGATCCCGTGATCTCATTCGTTCGTATATCATGCGGTTAGTTTTTGTTAGGTACTATTCATATTTAATTTTAAATTTTGAAATGATTTCTGACCGCACGATATACGATGAATGAATGAGATCACTATATCTCTAGGAAAAGATCCGGCGAGGATCTATCCCCTCTCCTCATGCCCATAAAATTAGAGAAAGAAGATGGGCTTGCTTTTATAAACAGAAGTTGGGCTCCTGGAGGGAGTGATTGGTTGAGCCCACCGACGTTCTTATTTGGCGCGCTCTTTTGAAGCCAACACTGAACGACGTCGCACCCGTCTCGGTTATGGCTGGCACCACTGTGTCATGAGTCAATGCGTCTCAGACCTCCTCCCTCCAAAGCCTTACACTCCTTCCACCGAAAGCAGAGCCTCTCGACTTTTCCGTCCGAGTCGGTCTGCCAAGATGGAGCCGCTGACTCCCATTACACCCACCTCTTGCAGATGTGTCTGCAGCAATGCAAGTATATCAAAGCCCACAAGGTGTTCGACGAAATGCCTGAGAGGCTGCTGGCTCATGCTTCCAGAACCTGCAAGACTATCCACGCCCGCAGCTTGAAAATTGGGATTGCGTCCAAAGGGTTTCTGGGAAATGCCATTCTGGGTTTTTATGCTAAGTGTAGTAATGTGGGATGTGCCAAGAAGGCATTTAACTGCCTTGAAAGCAAGGATGTGTTTGCTTGGAACTCGGTTTTGTCAATGTATTCAAGTAAGGGATTGGTCGAACAGGTTGTTAAGTTGTTCGGGTCGATGTGGAATGACAGGGTAATGCCGAACGAGTTCACTTTTGCAATGGTTTTGTCTGCTTGTGCAAGATTGGTGGATGTTGAATATGGTAGGCAAGTTCATTGTGGTGTTATTAAAATGGGGTTTGAGTTGAGTTCATTTTGTGAAGGTGCACTCATTGATATGTATGCCAAAGGCAATTGTATAAGTGATGCTCGACAGATATTTGATGGTGTGTTGGAGTTGGATACAGTGGCTTGGACAACAATGATTTCAGGGTATGCTTAAGCTGGCTTGCTTGAGGAGGCACTTAAAGTGTTTAAGGAGATGCACAGAGTTGGCGGTTTTCTGGACCAGGTAGGTTTTGTGACTGTCATAAATGCGTGTGTTGGTCTAGGTAGGCTAGATGATGCATGTGAGTTGTTTTCCCAGATGCCCAGTCCTAATGTTGTAGCGTAGAATGTGATGATTTCTGGGCATGCCAAGAGAGGCAGTGAGGAGGAAGCTGTTAACTTTTTCTTGAGAATGAGGAAAGCTGGTGAAAAACCGACAAGATCCACACTAGGAAGTGTTTTAAGCGCAATTGCTAGTTTAGCTGCTCTAGACTGTGGCTTGCTAGTTCATGATACGGACAACAAGTCCACAGTCTCTCAGTTAAAAATGGTCTGGAAACAAGCCTTTATTCTGGTAGTTCCCTTATTGACATGTATTCCAAATGTGGGGTCATTGAGGATACACGTAAAGCTTTCTACTATATGCCCCACTGGAGTGTAGTCTCCGTGAATGCTCTAATTGCTGGTTTTGGTTATAGCAACTTGGAAGAAGCAGTAAATTTGCTTCATGAGATGCAGGACATAGGATTGAATCCAACTGAAATTACGTTTTCAATCCTTTTAGATGCATGTAGTGGGTCTGTGATGTTAACACTGGGAAGGCAAATCCACAGCATAGTACTCAAGAAGGGGCTTTTGTGTGATGGCGACTTTAATGAAGAAGAATGAGAGAATATCCCAGTGGTAATAATGTAACGCTACGCATGGAACTTCCCAAGGCCTCTCTCTCAGAGAGATTGCAAGCAGAATTAAGATCCCAGTAGTATTCTGCAACTTTGCTAGAGAGAGAGAGAGAGAGAGAGAGAGAGATGTTAACCAGGTTCAGGCAGCATGCAGGGTATGTTGATTTTGATATCAGTACCTGGAGGAATTTTGTATTCTATGGTTGAGATCTCCATCTAATTCTCCGTTCTCTTGCAGGATAGATCCTAGGTAGCGAAAACGGTCGTTTTTGTGATCTTCGCTAGATTGCTCCGGTCATTAGTGTGGATAAGTATATAAATGGATAGAGATAGGAAAGCAAACACAAGATATACGTGGTTCACCCAGATTGGCTACGTCCACGGAATAGAAGAGTTCTCATTAATTGTGAAGGGTTTACACAAGTACATAGGTTCAAGCTCTCCTTTAATGAGTACCAGTGAATGATTTAGTACAAATGACATTAGAGTACAAATGACATTAGGAAATATTGTGGGAGAATGATCTCGTAATCACGAAACTTCTAAGTATCGGAGTGTGGTATCATCTTGACTTGCCTTATCTGTCTCATAGGTTGATGTGGCAGCTTCTCTGGAAGTACTCTTCCTCCATCCAGGGGTGGTATCTTTAACTGGTGGAGATGCACAAGGTAATGTATCAATTTCACTTGAAGCTTACTTGTAGTTTCAGGCTTGGTCCAGCGCGATACAAACCATGTAGTAGGAGTCCCCCAAGTCGCCGAGCTAGGGGATCTGCTGAAAGAGGTGACAGACAAGGTAAGCAATCAGAGTTCCGGCTGATTGTTCACCTTCTCCCCATCTTGCAGCAGCAGCAATGAAGGATAAAGAGAAGAAAAATGAGAAGAGATGATATGGGATACTTTTTGCTTTTTGAAGAAGTAACTTTCCACAGGCTTATTCTTGAACTGAGCTGGAGGGTTTTCTGGTTTCCTCCAGAGTATAAGGCCGACTGAAGAATTTGAAGGTCAAAACAAGTCCATCAAATCTAGAGTACGTTCGACCGACCTGCTGATATGCTGATATGGGATACTTTTTCTTTTGACAGAGTAATGGATGTATCGGCACGTGTGTTGTTACGCTTGTCTCCACATGCTTCCTTGTATCCTTCGCACTTGCCCTATCTGTTCCTCAAGCAGATGCGATATCTTCCCTGGAAACATAAGATGTTGAAGATGAGTACTCGAGAGCAATGCCAGGTAAGTAATCAGGTAAGGGGTTCCAGGCAGTCAGTTTCTGGCTGGGAGCTTGATTTCAAGTGCTGACTGATTGCTCTTTTTCTCCTTGTCTTGCAGGTAAAAACAAGGCCAAAGGAAAAGACAGGGAAAAAGCATGATATGGGATACTCTTGCTTTTAACCCTGATGATATGAGATATTCTTGCTCTAGTATAGCTTGTTTGCAGAGGTATTATCGGGGGGAAAGAAAGCTGAATATTTCGAAAGGTTTCGTTGGGAGTGCCCTCTCAGATATGAGGAAGGGTTGAGCATTTTTGCAGGTCTGCCTGTCCGTTGGGGATGGAGGTCGACATATATAGGAGTCTCCCTAACAACAAGTAGTAATGTTATTCCTTTACCCTGCTTGGTCATAGCACGGTAGTGGGAGCTGCCAGCTTCACATGTTTTAACTCTGTCAGAGCACTTTGAAAAAGTGGTATGTGGTATCTGGCTCTCGAGATTCGGAGAACGATGCTTCTTCGATTTTTGAGAAAGCAATCATGCTGGGGGTCTGGCTCTCGAGATTCGGGGAGCAGTGTCTCTTCGATTTTTGAGAAAGTAATCATGTTGGGAGTCTGGCTCTCGAGATTCGGAGGGCGGTGCCTCTTCGATTTTGGAGTAAGCAATCTTGTTGGGAGTGTTTTCTCGGATGTGAGTAAAGGTTGGGCATATTTGCTAGTCTACCTTGCCACGAAGCACGGAGGTTGACACATAGGGACTTTCCAATTATCCAGCAGTGGTACTGTTCCTTTACCCTTGTGGGTAATAATATGGTAGCTAGACCTTCAAAATTTATGTGTCTAAACTTTGTTAGTGCTGTTTTTTTGCTATTCTTTTACCTTTCTTGGTCAGAACGATGTAGTGGGAGCTGCAAGCTT